TGATTGTGGTAAACGTTTTAGTCAGCTTTCCAGCCTGGTGAAACACCAGAGGACTCACACAGGAGAGAAACCCTTTGAGTGTCCTGATTGTGGGAAAAGTTTCAGTACCAATTCCAGCCTAGTGACACACCAAAGGACTCACACAGGAGAGAAACCCTTTAAATGCCCTGATTGTGGTAAAGGTTTCAGTCAGAATTCCAACCTTGTAACACACCAGAGGACTTACATCAGGAAGAAATTGTTTGAATGTCCTGAGTGTGAAAAATGTTTCTGTGATAATTCCAACCTGGTGATACACCAAAGGACTCACACAGGAGAGAAACCCTTTAAATGCCCAGATTGTGGTAAAGGTTTCAGTCAGAATTCCAACCTTGTAACACACCAGAGGACTTACATCAGGAAGAAATTGTTTGAATGTCCTGAGTGTGAAAAATGTTTCTGTGATAATTCCAACCTGGTGATACACCAAAGGACTCACACAGGAGAGAAACCATTTGAATGTCCTGATTGTGATAAATGTTTCAGTACCAGTTCCAGCCTAGTTAGACACCAGAGGATTCACACAGGAGAGAAACCCTTTGAATGTCCTCATTGTGGTAAAAGTTTCAATACCAATTCCAGCCTAGTGACACACCAGAGGACTCACACAGGAGAGAAACCCTTTGAATGTTCTGATTGTGAAAAATGTTTCGGTGACAATTCCAGCCTGGTTAGACACCAGAGGATTCACACAGGAGAGAAACCCTTTGAATGTCCTGTTTGTGGGAAAAGTTTCAGTAACAATTCCACTCTTGTGACACACCAGAGGACACACACAGGAGAGAAACCCTTTAAATGTCCTGACTGTGGGAAAAGTTTCAGTCACAGTTCCTATCTCATTGGCCATCAGAGGATTCATGCAGGAGAGAAACCGTTTGAATGTCCTGTTTGTGGGAAAAGTTTCAGTCAGAATTCCCACCTCATAGAACACCAGAGGACTCACACAGGAGAGAAACCCTTTAAATGTCCTGAGTGTGGGAAAAGTTTCAGTCAGAATTCCACCCTGGTTCAACACCAGAGGATTCACACAGGAGAGAAACCCTTTGAATGTCCTGACTGTGGGAAGAGTTTCAGTCAGAATTCCACCCTGGTTCAACACCAGAGGATTCACACAGGAGAGAAACCTTTTAAATGCTTTGACTGTGGGAAAAGTTTTAGTCAGAATTCCACCCTGGTTCAACACCGGAGGATTCACACAGGGGAGAAACCGTTTGAATGTTCTATTTGTGGGAAATTTTTCAGTCAGAATTCCCACCTCGTGGAACACCAGAAGACTCACACAGGAGAGAAACTCTTTAAATGGCCTGATTGTGGGAAAAGTTTCAGCAAGAATTTTAAGCTGGTGACACACCAGGGGACTCACATAGAAGAGAGACCCTTTGAATGTCCTGATCTTGGAAAAGTTTCTCTTGGAGATCCTAGCTCATGTACCAGTGGACTCACACAGGAGAGAAACTGTATGAGTGTCCTGTTTGTGGAAAACGTTTCAGCTGCAATTCAAACCTGGTGACACACCACAGGGGAGAAACCATACAAGTGTCCAGACTATGGGAAAGATTTCAGTATTAGGACTAATCTTCTAAATCATATGCTTATAGACACAGGGGAGAAACTATTTGAGTGCCCTCAGTGTGGATGGTGCTTCAGGAAACATTCCACCCTTATTGCACACACATGACACCCCCAAGTGATGAGTGTAGAGAAGGCTTGAATTTCATTTCTAATGTCCCATTGTAAGTCGAGCTGAGATATTGACTGTTAAATCGTGACTAATTTACCTTTCTTTGTTATGTAATGGTATTAGATGGGAAGGAGGAAGGAAACATGGCAACATATTAGTTTGATATTGTCGATCTTGCCATGAGCAGCATAACTTGCTGGATATGGGTAGTTCTCGGGTTACGAATGTAATGGAGTCTGCCCATTCCATCCGTAACTCGAGAATTTGTGGGAGTGAATCTCGCACATTGAATGACATCATTTCGCCCACCCATTCGTTGCTTTCTCGTCCCAAATCAGCTTGATGAGGCCTCTGGCACTAAGAAAGTAGCTACGCACAGTTTCTCGGGGTTGCTTTCTCAGCAAAGCAATTGACCATTGCATTCCTGTAGCCCTATGCAAGGACCCTTTGCCTTTAGGAAAAGGGCTTCAGAGAGATGCACCCACTCTTCCCAAGCTCCGCTGGTTTCAACAAAGGCTTTTTGCAAAGGGCTGCCGAATCCTACAAGTACGGAATCTCCCTGCATGCTTCAGCAAAAAAATGGCAAAAGAAGGAAAGGCCTAAAGGACCGAAACCTTCCCTCCATTTGCAAACATCCAGATCTCAATTTGCAGAGAATAGAGACCTTATGATTGAGATTATACAAGATCTTGCGCTACTGATCTCACTGTATGTTAGGCCTCTGTTCTCTGTGGATGTGGGCAAAAAAATTGCAACAGAGAGGAGGTAAGTGAAGTTCCTGTGAAGACTCGGATGGGGGAGGGGCAGAATAGGCGGGGTGAATGTTGCAGAGCCTTGGGTCATTTGTAAGAGTGAATAACTGCTTTGGTGCTGCAATATTCATAATTTCAGGATTTTTATGGTAAACGCTAGGGGCGCTTATCACATAACAAATGTTCACTAAGGGAACACTCATAATCTGAGGATCACTGTATTTATTTCTGTAGAAATTGTGCATAAAAATCTTTTGGGGAGTGTTCTTTGCATTTTTATCCTGGGAGATGATAGAAACGCCGCATACAGTGTCCCAACCTTTTTCTACCTGGGTGCCTTTGAGATTTTCAGCCCCAGTATCTCTTGGGGATTGGAGCACTAAGACTACAGTTATAGATTGTGGCTACTCATATGAGAAAGCAAGAGGAGACAAGTAGTAGAGGGGTTTTAAAGTTTTATCTTTTCCAAATAGTTCCAGGAATTCAGTGCGCCAAGAATGTTTGTTCAGATTGTGTCAGGAATGAGGCACCAAAGAATTCCAAGATTGTTTGTTTCCCCAACACCAGTCAAAAAGACAGGTTACATTTTTTTTAGTAGCTCTCATATGAAGGACATGCAACAATCAGGACCAGGCCAGGTATGTGGAGAAACCGAGGGGCTCTTGGCCTGAGTCTTAAGTCCAAGTGATTTCATATTTAAACATATGCAAAATTTATAAAATTTAAAATAGTAAACATATATTTAGTCAGACGTGCATTTCCTCAGAATCAAAATTTGAAGCTGAGATTGAAAGGGGTAAAGTATATGTTGTTTGGAGGATACTGGATGTTGAAAACTGCAGCATTAATTTAGGGCTAGAGTAGCAGGAACAGCTGAATGGATAGATTTTGTGGGGAGGAAGAAGGCCCAGTTTGGTAGTTACCATCCTAGAGCCTGAGGGGCGTCATTTCTGGTCCTGCTTTAGGCACAAAGCCATCTCAGAGACCTTGGCGTCTCCAGGCCTCTCAGGCCTTGGAAAGGGGAAATCTGCTTTCAAAAAAACTTGCCAAGGAAACTGCAGGGAAATGGGAGTGCAGAATAACTCCCCAAAACCTATTATTGCAACTGAGTGAAGCTAGAAGAATGAACCATGACCTACTTAGCATCTCAAGATTAGGGAAGTGCTGTGCTATAAACGTTTATGAAGATCTTGCCTGTGTGCTCAGCCACCAAATGATTTCCAGCTTCATCCGATCAATAGAAACAATGAAACGTGGAAAGATAACTGAAAACAGCTATTCTCCTTGCTTCCAAATCACATCTAGATAGGAGAGATTTTATCTGCCTCCTTGCAGAGCCTAAATCTCAGTAGAGGGAAGAATTGCTCTGAGCAGCCTTCCAATTTCCACAGGAGTTTGAATTATTATTTGGAAACAGTTTGAGCAAAAGACTTGGAGGGCACTACTTTGCAGAAAGCTGATATACATATAGGTTCCTGCATTTATGGGTGACACAATGGAGATCAAAACCTCTACATCCCAAAACTTTATGACTGATTTCCTGTGGCTCCCAAGGATTTAGGACCTGGAGGATCAGTTGCTCAAATATGTGCAGAGGAACACGGAGATTTTCTCTACCCACAGGTAGCAAGCAGTAACCAGATCCTCATGGTTGAGTCCCACTTAAGGACTCTGAACGAGGTGGGATCCCAGGGAACAAGACTGGAAAAACAGACCATGTTTTTCATTACTTGCTGCCCAGGGCTCAGATGTAGAACAGGAAAACACACACACACACACACACACACACTGTAGTTTGTAGGGACCCACGAAGCTCTTTGGAGGGGAGTCAAAAGTCTATTTCCTCCTGCTGCTGCTGTAAGTTCCCTGGGGAAGGTCTGATTTCTCTGAGGAAACACTACTAATGGTGGGAGCCTCCCAGAACAACAAGCCAGTTGGAAGGACATCAGTTATGCTGCAGAAAAAGTGAATCCAAGTCTCTCTGGAGTGACACTCAATGCCTAGTGATTTAAAGGATTCCTGATTACAGGTTTCCTGACAGCAACACACAAGCTTTTTCAGGTGTTTCTTCCCCCTCCCCTCTGTTTGTCCCTCCGTCTCTCTCTCCCTCTCTCTTTCTCACACACACAACCTGTGGACATAGCAAACATCTCAGTGAGAGCAACCTGCCTACTCTCTGGCAGTCAATGGGGGAGGAAGAGAGATAAAAGGAAGTAGCATAAAGGAAACATAGTTGTCAAAACCTGTCTCATCTAAAGCAACCAAATCAATTGAAAGATTCAACGTATATTAAGTATTGAAACTATCACTGTGCACACTGGATCCCAGCAAAGCCACTGGCAGCTTTTTGAGCAGCCCTGACCTAAAGCAGATCCACAGCTTATATACTGTTGGCCCACTACATTATGAAGATATAGAAACACCCTATAGAGTACAACACTATGATTTAAAGGAGAGAAATTCTTTAAATGTCCTGACTGTGGGCAAAGTTTCAGTCTAGAGTTCCAATGTTGTTCCACACCAGAGGACTCAACACAGGAGTGAAACCTTTTGAATGTCCTGTGGGGAAAATTTCAGTCAGTTCCATCCAGGGTGGGATTGAAAAATGTTAGCAACAGGTTCTCTGCCAGGGATGAAGCTAGACCTGGATACAGTGGGCTGCTCTTGCCCAAGCAGCTCCCAAATTAGCAATAATAGCAGTAGACTTATATACCGCTTCATAGGCCTTTCAGGCCTCTCTAAGCGGTTTACAGAGAGTCAGCATATTGCCCCCAACAACAATCTGGGTCCTCATTTTACCCACCTCGGAAGGATGGAAGGCTGAGTCAACCCTGAGCCGGTGAGATTTGAACCGCTGAACTGCTGATCTAGCAGTAGCCTGCAGTGCTGCATTTAACCACTGCGCCACCTTGGCTCTTCCTTTCCTTGCAAGTAGGTACAAACATCATTAAAGGGTAAAACGATGAATGAAGAAGGGAAGTTCTGTAACCAGAAAAACTGAGAATGAAAATAATGTATTCCAGTTAAATTAGAAGTGGTTCTTTGTGAAGGATCTGTGAAGGTTTTGGAATATTGCAATAAGGCCCAAGGAAAAAAAAATTGATTAAATTAATTAGTAAACTGAACACCACTGTAGAACATCATTTCTCACCAAAAATGCAATTTAAAGGAGAGTAAAGTAAGATTTTACGCTTGGGCAAGAAAAAAACCAAATGCACCTGGCTCAACTGGAAGTAACTGTGAGATGGAAACTTTTCAAACAGATCCAATGTAGAAATAAGAAATTTCCTGACAGTGAGAACAATTAATTAGAGGAATGGGATGCCTTCAGAAGCTATGGGATACCATCACTGGAGGTTTTTAAGAAGAAATGTATCCATAATAGTATAGGGCAGGGGTAAGCAACCCACGGTTCTGGAGCCGCCTGTGGCTCTTTCATCCTTCTGCTGTGGCTCCCTGTTGCCAGTCGGCACCACAACTTTGAGAGGAGCTTCTGTTGCGGTGGGGAAGCAGGACGTGCCAGGAAGAGACGCTATGGCAAGGGGCGGGTTTTCCAGTCAGCTCCACAATTGCTAGGGCTTTTGGTTAGGACAGGTAGAGCAAAAAGGATGCCACAATAGGAGGAGACTATGGTGGGGAAACCAGACTTCCGGTCGACTCCAGAATTGAACGGGGGGCTTCTGATTAGGATTTTTGTGACTCCTTTGAGTGTTTAGGGTTGCTGAACCCTAGTATAGAATGTTATGCTTGAGCAGGGGTTGGACTAGAAAACCTCCATGGTCCCTTCCAACTCTGTTGTTCTTTATAGATCTCTCCATTCAGTCTTACCAAGAGAATGGTGATAAACCATACTTGGAAATGTACATCAGGTCTTCTGACAGCAAAATCTCATCTTAGTATCAAGGGGAAGATGACTGAAAAAGCTTCTTCTCTCACCATAACATGTAGGACAAGGCGAGGAGAGGCCAGGGGAGGCACCCCTCAATGTGAATGACATCGAGTTGGCCATGGCCACCCAGTCACATGACCCACCCAGCCACATGACCACCCCAAGCCATGCCCACATAGCCACGTCCACCTAACCATGCCCACAGGCCCTGTTGTTAAATTATTTGAATCCCACCACTGTTCAGGGAATGTAAACACTTTAACCAACTGGCCC